TGCTCAATGGGGTGGTAATTTACAATCGATTTCAGATGATCGTTTTCAAATTTTCTCTCAACATACTTATGCATCGTTCTACTTACCAGCAGGACGCGTATGGGAATTATTGATCGGTGCATTTGCTGCATTTTACTTACGTGACAATGATTCAGTCGAGTATGTATCTCTTTAAAGTCTGCTTTCTAAGACTCATTGTAAATGCTTAACAGTGTGCGCGCCATCTTTATCCAAACTCACACAGAATTGAAAACTGACACTAAAAAGAATTTTGTGGTTATCTGGAATCACGCATGTGCAGTTGTATAGCAATGCTGCCAAGCGTTATTTTCATTGAATGCAAAAACGAATGAATTTAAAAATTGTTCTATAAATTTTTGCAAGTACTTCATATTTATACAAAATTTTCCACTTGATATGTCTTGTAGCGAGTGAAACTGTAAGGGAGGAATACGCGGGGTTGAGAATGGTAGTTGAAAAATGAAGTACTCATCATTGGTATAAGAAGAAAATGCTTAGAATAAAAAAAAGATTATTTATTTTGATGCCTATTTATTACTAACCAACATACAAAAAAACAAATGTTTTTCTTGGCACATTGTTGTACCTTTATTTTACTTATCTACCTTAGAAAACCAATCTACAAACACAGGCAGTTCCTTGCATTTCTTGGACTTGTACTTATCATCGTTGCTGTTGTGTATCTCGACCATCAATATATACCTCCGTTTCCGAATTTCTACACTCTTATACCTATATGTGGAGCAGCTTTGATTATTCTTTTTGGTGAGAAAAATACATTAATAGGACGTTTACTGTCTACTCGTCTGCTGAGGTGGCCAGGTCTCATTTCGTATAGTGCGTATCTTTGGCATCAACCTTTACTTGCATTTGTTCGCCTAAGGTCACAGGAGTCACCCACATTTTCAACTATTCTTATTATTATCGGTGCTATTCCTCTTCTGTCTGCACTTAGCTACTTTTTCATTGAACAACCATTTCGCAATAAACAACGATTTTCTCAGAGAATTATATTCTGTGCTGCTGGTATAGCCACCATAGTCACACTCATGCTCGCATTATTTCTTATTCGAACTGCTGATAATCGATCAATGATAATGAACAATGGAGGTGATCCTTATTTGCCTGATTTACAAAAATATGGAAATTGGAAATATGTTGTGAAAGCATTTGATTATAGAGCAACCATTAATAATTCATTTTCAAATGCAACAATAAAATCGAAAAGAAGAATCGTACTAATCGGTGATAGTTTTGCTCAAGATTTTTATAATATGATCATAGAGGGCAGACATCTCTTGAAGTATGAGATATGCGTGTTCTATGTTTCTGCACGCTGTCAGATCTATATCGGTCCAGAAGATAGGCTAAACCTGATTGAAGCCGGGCATAGGCATACGTGTACGAATGCATATGATATAAAATATGCGCTGCCACTTGTTCGTCAAGCCAATATCATTATACTAGCAGGTTTTTGGCAAGAATGGAGTGCACGACGATTACCATCAACACTAAAATTACTAAATTTAACGAAACAGCAGCAAGTGTTTGTTATAGGAGCAAAGAATTTTGGAAAAGTAAATCCTGCGCTGTACGTGAACAAATCAATGGAGTACCGATTGAAACAATATCAAAACTCTCCGGCAGAAGCTCTGAAAATCAATCAATTATTGGAAGAGACCATAGATAAATCAATATTTGTCAATATACAGAAAATGGTTTGTACAGGTCGTAATGTAACTTGTTCTCTATTCACTCGAGATGGAAAATTAATATCACACGATGGCCTTCATTTAACTAAATTTGGTGCTCTTCATATAGGAAATATTATTTTTAAAAATAAACCGTTGAATAGATTGTGACTTAGCGATCAATACAATGATGAGCTTAAAAATAAAATAAATGAATCAGATGACAAAAGCTATCTGCATAATTTCTACAGAGCAAAACGGAAACAAGACAACGGTATTGTAGTAGTGGATAAGATCCCTTCGTCATCTTTGTCTGCTTTCATAAAAATTTTTCCAATTTATATTTAATAACTCTTTGTGTTTAGCTGTTTTAATCTCAAGCTCTGATCTTTTTATGATTTACTCTAACGAATTAACAGTCAAATAAACTGAAAAATAGAGAAAACTGATTGAATATTATATAATGATTAAAATAGTAAGTTTTTATTAATTTCACATTACATATTCTCTATTTATGCGTGAATCTCCAATGAAGCTTTTTTTATTAAGACAATAAACATTTAAGTTAATTAATTCTCATTAGTAAGAGAAGAATTGGAGCAATACCGACGAAAGTGACATCCACCATATCTAGTGGTCTTATTGTTAAAAAGATACGTGCATATTACAAGATGGTTCACACGTCTAAAATCAAATTTAGACTGTTATTAGAAACAAACCGCGTCTTCTTTTTGAAAATATCTATACGTTACACAATAAAAAAAAGTCTTGATTTAAAAGAAACTACATTAGCGTACAGTTCTTTTAGACCAGTAATGGCTTTTGTAGTCGGACGCGATGGTGGTGTTTCATTCAATTACCTGATTCTAAGTGTTCGAGTAGTAGTAAGCACGCTTTACAATTCCATTCTATCTTAACTATTTTCCTTTCTTTAGATTCATTGATAATAATGACTCTTTTTTTTATACAATTTAACTATTTGTGCTCTTATCATCTAGTAATCAAATATTCCATCATCTGTATTTACTGAAATAATGCAAGGAAAAAATAAGCGAACCGTTCACTCAAAAAAGACACAGTGTATCTTACCTACAGACGTCGATAGAAGGAAATGTTCTTTCGACACGTTGAAAATCTTGTTTGAATAATATTTTGTGAACAAGGCATGAGCATAAAGATCAATTACCGTTTTCAATGAAAGAAAATCTTCGTCACAAACTGATTTTTTATTCGTTTAACAGAAATATAAGTTTCATTTTAAATTTCCTACAGTAATTTTGTAAGATAATATAAAATAATTTTATTGAAAACATAACATTACCCATGTCACACAAACCGATCGAGAAACGTCAATTACAGGTGGTTTTCGATCGGTTTTTGTGCGGCATGGGTTAAATAGCCATATTCAATGCAGATCGAACTATGTTCATATAAAAGCGCCTTAACCGTTCAGTTCATTCTTTTAGGAAAAGAATAATGAATAGAGTTAGCTAATTTAATTTCTGTTTTTAATGCATTCATCAATTACTATAGCAATAAGCAACATTTTGTTTTCATGATGAAAAACAAAACTCAGTAATCTTCATTGATTATTAGGTACTAGTATAGTATTTAATTATAAATTCATTTTATGACATAATCTCTATTCAATGTACGTTAACATCATCAAAACGTGACCGCTTGATAGCTAATAATTCATAGGAAAGATGCAACGTATTATAGAAGATTCTAACTTATTATGTATTCTTATTTAAGTACATATATATTATGAAAAAATTGAAATACAAAATTATCTGTTGCTTTATTTGTTTGTGTAAGACAGACAAATAAACGTTTTATAGTGAAAAAACAAATTACATAAAAAAGAGAAGAAAAAATCTAAACATGGTTCAAATAATATCTGGCTGTTGTTAGCGATGTTGACTTTTTTACGGATGCTAATATAAGGTCTTCGAAGAAGTAAACATGGCAATGCTGATTCTAAAAAAAACTTAACTTTTACAGTATGAATTAATTAAAAAATTTAGATTAATAAATATTCCATTGTCTGGCTTTCGACTTAAAAGAATTTGTAATAAATAACAGGTTTGCCAAATCTTTTCATTTGGCCAGGAATCTCCTATGATTTTCTAACTTTTCTCTTGACAAAAAATCTCCTGAATTTCAAATCTTTTGTTGTAGTTTCGATTTTCTTGAGGAAACATAAATTCTATGTAAAAAATCGAAATAATTGTTCGATAAAATAATTTTCCAAAGGCTCACTAAATGTTCTAATTATTCTTCATTGTGGAAAGAATGTCAACGCAAACAAAAGCGTTGTGTTGCTTGTAATATTAAGTTTTTAATAGAAAATAGTATAGTAGAAGTATGAATAAATTTAGAGTATCTGCAATGCATACGAGCATATGTACCAATAAGGACGATTTTTCACATTACCATAGTGAAAGGGTTTTAAAAAAAAACTTAACAAAAATCAAATTTTCATGTAGCTTAAAGAGATTACACATAGCCTTAAATATTTCTCGATCTGCTACAGAGAACGTGTGATGCTTGTACTCATAGCAGAACAACAAATGTAGACAATTTTTATTCTGTTGAAGGACAATGGTTTTTCTCCCGATTCCTAAAAATTGAATTTTGGTATCCCTCGTCTCCAATCACAAAATCATGGGATACATTATTGAAAATTTTTTTAGAAAAAAATGTGAAATAGAACGTAGATGTTTCATTGCTGAACTGCATATGTTTAGTTTGCATCTTACCACTAATTGTTGTTAAACCAGCTTTATCATTGTTGTCATTACTAGATTAATAGTGATTGATATTTTGAATATGTTGCTGTCAGATACCATGATGAAGAAATTGTTTTGTGGAGATGTTCAAATCTCATTTATGGTTTTGTCATTAAAAAATGACAATTTGTCTTTCTTGTACGAATATTTTCAATCCATCGTTTAGATGGCGACGATTGAAATAGATAAGCACATTAGATGATCTTATACCCAGGTCGATTGTTCCGGCCACCGGATAGGGTAGGAACCGGTTGAAAATATCCGAAAAAAATCACCGGATTCCAGAGGAAAATTTTCGCAGTTGTTCCCGATGATTTCCTGTCGGTTCCTGCGGGAAAGCACTGGAAGTTGACCAGAATCAACCGGAAAAAACCCTGGAATTTACGACCGGAATACTGCTTCCACTTTCCAGCGATTTCCTGTGTTTTCTGGTCGTTTCCCGTCGTTCCGCCACGACCTGGGTTCGGACAAGACTATTACAACAAATGAAGCCTGAAAAAGAAGATATCTCTTAAGAAGAAGTATCATTCAGAGCAGGATTCGCTAAATTGGGCAAAAAAAATCCAAAAAACAAAGTTTAGCGATGGGTGGATTGTTTCTTAAAAACGTTTTTTAATACTTACTGTAGTTGATGCTGTATTATTATTATTATTGTCACTACCCATGTCGTGAAAATCGCCGTGATTTTGGTGATTAATCGGTACTTTCTTTTTTCCGAGATTGTTCATGTACCAATTGCATCAAACGTCTCTGATTAGAAGACTACAATAATTCTGCAAACCAATAAAAGTTATGTTTGCATATAGATTTTGCTTTTAATTTCGACGTATCGACTATTTAAACTGTCTTTTTTCAAGAATATATGCAAATCAAATCTATATCAATATAAATTTTGGTTATAGGAAGAAAGAGAGAAAGAAAGAATGAATGAAATGAAACACGTGTACATAAACTAATCAAAGGAACAGGAAAGCGAAAAGGAAAGAAAACTATAGATATACGTACAAAGTGTATGCAATTAATTGGGCGTGGCTGTGGTTGTAATGGGTCACGCCCAAGATTTATCAGATCTTTTCGGAAAATATTTTTTTAAAGTGATATGCTAATTTGAATTAAAATTATTGATTCATTATGAGTAGCTGGAGTATGTTATTTTCATACCAAAATACTAGGTATTCTGATATTGCTGAAATTTGATCAAATGACGCAATATAATACAAGTATCACAGCGGCGGATCCAGGATTTTCGAGAGGGGGTGGCGATTTCTAAATTTTTTTCAAACAAGCTAGTATGAATTTTCGTGAAGTATTTAAAAATGTGTGCTTAGTCTTTCGAATTCTTTATTTCGTTTTATATAGTACATCACTATGAAGTGATGCCTTTTCACTTGCTTCTTGCTGGTGATTGTTGCAAATTGAGACTACTGCTTTTTTGAAAACCTCAGTAAGCAAAGGATACATTTCAATCTCCCAGGACGATGTTTCCGGCCTCCGGAAATGAGAGGATTTAATTGGAACCGGCCAGGGACATGCAGGAAACGCACCGGAACGTGCAGGAAAACGCCGGATATCACCGGACCCTGGAAGCAGTATTCCGGGACGGATTTCTTCGGATTTTTCCGGTGATTTCCGGCGGGAATCAACAGGAACTTACAGGAAAAATCCGGAGATTTCCCGGTCCGGAATACTGCTTCCGTGAAATCGCGGGAATGCGCGGGAACCGGCCGTTTTCCGGGTCGGTTGCTTGGACCTGGGCTAGAATATGGTATACATTTGTTACTCTAAAGCAGGCATTCCCAAATATTTACATGTCATTACTACATGCTTTAGATATTTCGGTCAAATTATATTGAAAAAATCAGATATTTCCCGTCAAATTTTCAATACCCCTGGCTATACAATTAGACTATCCTAGTAAAATTGAGGTTTTGTCGCGGTTTTTTGTTTACATAAGCTTTTGCTGGTTACGTTTCAATATTCAAGTGTACTTGATCAATTGGCAATGGGTGATATTTATGACTAATCCTGTCATTCTACTTCTCGCTATTAGTCATTCCCTCAGAGAGCTTTATTTTATTACATATTCTGAACCTTATTTTCACGATCAAAGCTGACATCTTTTGATTAAATATCATATTGCAATATCTATTATATCATGCGTTGAATCATAGAAGCATTTCAAAAATTTCGCCGATATTCTATCCTCAGGGGGGGGGGTGACAATGGCCGGGTAGCCTAACTGGTGGATCAGCCACTGAAGTATCATCTCAGATCCAAAAATCAATAATTTTCGAAATGAAATGCTGCAACATTCTGAGGTAAGGTCTGGTGAAGAGAAGTATCACATTCACACCCAACACCAGAAAACTAATATTCCTGTCTACATAGCTTTAAACAAAACTGATGCATTGTACTCTTTATTTCGAATATGAATTCTATAAATGCCACAGCAAGTTTTTTCACGAAAAAAAACTTCATATACAAATCGATTTCTAAGTAATGAACAATAACAACTTATATTGAAAATGTAAAATTAAGATTGTGTCATCATTTAAAAGTTTTACATATGGATCTTGCTGATTATAACACGAAAAATAGTGAATATTCACAATTGTAAAATAAAACCTTTCAAAACAAAAAACATCTTTTTATTTTTCGTGAACTACGATTATTTAATTTATTGTTGAATGCTATCAATTTTTTCCACTATGTCGACGAATGTAACTTTCTGTTATCTTTCTATCTGGATGATCAATCGAAAGAAACTTCTCATGCATAGTCAGTGCACGCTGATAACATTGAAGTGCCATTTTTTGGTTATTCTGATTTTCATAGCAAATACCAATACTGTTCAAGCTGCCTGCAATATCAACATGACCAGATGGATAAAATTTCTCTTGAATTTGCAACGCTCGTTGATGATAATCGAGAGCTTCATCATACTTTCCTTGGTTTTTAAGAGTAAGACCAATATTGTTAAAGCTTTGAGCTGTTTCCATATGGCCAGATGGATAACATTTGTCGCGAAGTTTCAACGCTCGTTGATGATGAACGAGCGCTTCATCGTATTTACCTTGATTATTGAGAATACGGCCGATGTTGTTAAAGCTTCTAGCAATATTTGCATGACCAGCTGGATAAAATTTCTTGTAAATTTTCAATGCTCGCTTGTGATAACTGAGAGCTTCATTGTAATTTCCTTGAATATCAAGAATACGACCAATATTATTAAAATTTCTAGCAATTTCGACATGACCAGGCGGATAGAATTCCTCGAGAATTTTCAGTGCTTTTCTATGACAATCGAGCGCTTCATCATATTTTCCTTGATTTTTGAGAATAAGACCAATATTGCTAAGACTAGTAGCAATACCAACATGACCAAATGGATAGAATTCCTCTCGCATTTTCAATGCTCGATGATGATAATCAAGAGCTTCATCACGCTTTCCCTGGTAGGACAAAATGTTACCAAACTGATTAAGAACTTGAGCAGAATGTCCAATTCTTGTCGGCTTATTCTTCATCATTTGGTCATAGGCGAGAACAAAATACTTTCGCGCTTCTTTCAATTGACCTTTGAAATGAAGAGCTCGACCAATATTAAATTCAATCCAAGCACGATCTTCACCAATCGAATCGTTTAATAATTGTTCAAAATATTTTTGTGATTTATCATATTCACCTAAGTCACATAATAATCTTCCGAAAATAATCGAAACATTAATTTCTCCAGTTTCATTTTGAGTTAATTTAAGATAATCTTTGGTTATTTTTTCTACTTCATTTGAAAGATTCATTTTAATGATTTGTAATGGTCCCTGTTCTTCAATAGATTCAATTACAAAACAAGCATTTAAATCAAATAAAACTTCTTCTTCACGCGGATATTGACTAAATTCACTGATATCAGCAAAAATAGTGTTCTTATCCAGTTGTTCAAGATCACATTGAATATCGAATAAAACACGAATCGTATCGCGTCGTTTTGTTGGTTTCATGGCAAAACGTACTGCTAATGATCTATTTCGACTTGTTGATAAATATCCATTTGCTGAAATTACTTTTCCTTGATTTTCTTTTAGTTTATCAAATTCTTTTTTGTCAAGTTTAACTCCGCGATAAACATTTAAAACGATTTCATCTGACATTAATATTTTTTCATGTTCATATTTAAGATTTTCCGAGAGATCGTTAATGAAAAATCGAAATGTGTAAAGAAGATCAGTGTCTTCTGTTCTTAGTGCTTTATTGATTAATTTATAAACAAACGATTGTTTCGAATACCAACGTATTGCGTCTCTTGATTGATAATTCTTTTCGAATTCTTCGATCAACGTCATTTCTTTTGTATTTCGACGATAATATTGTTTACATATTTGAATCATTTGTTTTTTTGATTGTTCATTGCGTGGAAGAGAAGAAATAACATTTTTGAAAAGTTGGAATGAAATAAATGCAGCCGAATCTTTAGTTAAGCGTTTTATTGATTTTTCTTCTTGGTCATAAATTGAAAATGTTTGCGTTTGTTTATTATTGAGATCGATTTGTCGTTTAATTGATAAACATAAATCATTAAGATTACTAAAAATTCCAATGATTTTTGCATATTCATTTAATAGATTTTCGTATCGATGTTTTTTCATACAGAAAATAAAAATTGAATCGATCTGACGGCAAGAAGGCGTTTGCGATAGAATTTGTCCTGCTTTTGATCCCGACAGAATTAAAAAGATTTTTTCTGCATTATTGGATTGAATCAGTGTAACGCAACGATCAAGATCGGTCACAAAAATTACATTATCATGGATCCGACAAAGCTGTTGTTTCGTTTTTGCAGTATCTTCATGTGATCCGATATTTGGATCAAACCAAATCAGAACTGTACTCTCAAAATAGGTTGATTTCGATAATAGCGCTAACGATACATCATCGACTGTTTCGTAATTCGACGATAATATTTGTGTCATAATTACTAAAGGGAAAATCTGAAAAATTTCCAATTGAAACGCTGCTTTCACTTTTCTGTCCGAATACAGTACAATTTTGGCAATCAAAATCACATTGAATAATTCGTTTTTCTGTGTTCGTGCAGACTGATGCTTCTTGAGGTAGACAACGCGACATTCAAATTGCAACCCTAATCGGCTGTCCGTTGAGAAGTCCACGAGCTGTACAGAATGGAAAAAAAGAAGCACTACCTGGGGAATCTATGAGAGAATACCAGAATAGGATTACTTCGAGAAAATATTTTAATTTATTCTCTAACATAAATTCTTTTCGAGTGATAAATATTGTTCAGACGGCTAATTCTTCTAATAAACAACAAATATTTTGAAGGAAATGTATGCCTGCCGATTTCAACTCAATGAAAAGTTGAATATTTGTGAAAAACATTAAATAATTAGGTCACTTTTAATGATTATCTGGTCTTTATGAATTGCCTGACAGTTATACGGGGACTCTCTGGGGATTTATAGGGGGGACAGTCGACTGGAGAAAGCATCAATGAGATGGATTCATTTTCTTCACTGACTAATATACTCAATGTTGAAAAATAGTATTTTGTATAAACTTGGAGTTTTTTCTAAAATCATAGTTTTAGTATTTATTCAAGTAATATTCGGTAAATTCTGATGATTGAATTTTTATTATGCTCTAAATCTGAATGTATAAAAACATTAATGAGAATTGATAGTGTTGGCATGGCTTTTTAAAACAGTAACAATCGAACTCAATGTTCCCTACGAAAAATATTTTGATTGCATTTCAAGTAAGAAACAGAACCCGATTAATTTAGAAAATATTTTCGGTGACAATATCAATGAATGAATAACTTACAGATGCAACAACGTAGTTTTTATTGATTCAATAGTAGCTTGATCAAACAACAGACTGAAGTTTTGAAATTTGTTAATGGCACGAGAGAAAAATCATTTATTTAAAACAACAAAAGATCTCTATTTTATTTTTCGCACGTTGTTTTTTAAACTGAAGTTTTTACATGTTTTTACAAAAGAGTAAAATTAAAATGGACGAAAAAAAAACAGGACACTTCATTTTTGTACGGTGAATGATGCAGTGAAATAAGGAAATAAATCTAAAAACAAAAGTTAGAATTGGCAATCTCATAAAATATTTCTTTTTCAATTAACTTATAACAATCAGAGAAGCTTTCGTTTTATTTAAAATGCATTTATTTTCACGTTGATTATTGAGAATATGGCTTAGTTAGTTCTTTTGTATCTTATTTTGTGTGAAAAACAATTCGTCGTTGTCGCTAATATTCAAAATTCATTCACAACTTTCTTTTAAATATTCCTGTAGCTCATACAGACAGATTTTCTCATTCTAAAAATAAAGAAGCTGAATGATACATTATTTAAAATCCTAAGCACAGAAAAACGTGTATGAATAGTAATGAGTTTTCTTCGTGCAATTTCATCAAAGGAATTTTTATCGATAATGATGAATTAAATTCTTGGTGCATGAAAAACTATTAAAATTATTTTATTTCTACACAATTCAAATTCTCTTTTGAATCACCTATCAAGTACATGAGATCATGCCTTCTGAATAAAATCGATCGCAGTGTAGGAAACTATTGGCTTTTTCCTGTTGTTACTGATACGTATTCATGTTTATTACCACGATAAGGAAAGCATTATTTGTTAAGTCCTCAGAATACTTCAACACGTTGTGCATTTAACATTGCATATCCTCATCGAATTACATACTTACTTTGGCAACATTTCATGTAATAAATAGTAAGATAGTTTAAAACATACACAAGCTTTTTAAATAAATTTACTATTGGATTAAACCGTGTGGGTGTGAATGATTTATGGAATACCAACCCATACCCACGCCCCAGAAAAAAAACATCAACAATGAGTAGCGTCTAATTTTCGATATGTCGGCGTGTATCGTTGTCATCGTGATAGTGCGTAGGTTGATTAAGTAGCCGATGTAAAAATTTAGGAGTTTTTAATATTTTAAAACCACCACGTCTATGTGGAAATACATCTTCAAGAAAATAATAAATATGACCAATAATAATTCCCATTAAATCAGCAGTAATGGGATCATCGAGTAATACCGAAAAACCATACAGTATCCATGGCAAATGAGATGCTTGAACATTAAACAAACCAAGAAAGTTCATGAAAACGTATGGATTTCGTCGACTGCAAACATATAATAACATAATTGTTAATGCCGAACCGAGAAAAGCAATCTTGAACATCGACGCCATTATTATCATCGAGATGCCACCAAAAATAACCATAAAAAGAAAATGAGCTTTCCTCAAGATAACGAGAGTAACGAGAAGTGAAGAGTAAACTGAAGAAAGAATTTGAACCTATTGCGCCATAATAACAAAAACAAGTTATCAATCTCCATAGTTGAAAATTTCGAAGGATTAACTTAGCGTCGAAATAAAGTTGGTAAACAGTAACGAATTCCAATTGCACCGCAAGTGTTGTCAAAATACACGCAGTTACATATATACGTGTTATAGGGGAGAAGGATAAGTAATCTTGTAGAAATTCCATTTTGTAATCGATGAAGATATCAGTTTAATATTATCATATAAGCCGATAAAATGATTTTGTCTGGTTAAATGTAGACAATAAGAGTCAACTGAAAATTCAATCACTTCTGTTCGTGTGTGCATCATGAGCAGAAAACGGAATTGAAAAAACAACCGAAGTGAGCCAGTTTACGACCAGTTGTATGCAATAAATGTTTTACGACAGACATTGCTCATCGTAAGTCGCAGGGGGCGATGGCAAGAAGCTAGCTATAATCACAACATTGTTTAGTTCCCCCCATAGAAGCGCTTCGAAAGAATGATTATTCAACATGCAACCGGAAGTGAATACTGCTGACAGAAGACATGTTTAAAGGAGAATTGCTTCTGTGATTCAGTTAGCAACTCTCATTTATCAAGATTGACATTCTTGACGGTGTGAGCATGATTACCGAACAAAAGCATACACAACTATGTTTTTTACATCGCTTAGTATTGTTTTGAATTTTCCTTCGTGACAAATTCTATTTCTCTTTCAAATAGTTGAACATAAAGCAAAGTTCGTACATACATAACTCTTCATTGGTTAAAGCATCACGCTAAAGGCATGAAGATCTCAGAGCATTTAAAATTTTGGTGCAACTTTTCTTTCACAGTTTTTCGTTTTCAGCTTGGAGGAAACGTAAGAATTAAAAAGTTGGCATACGTGAGGAAAGTTAATTACGCATACAATATCTTCTTTCAATATTGTTACGTCACACGCAAAACTATTTAATCAATATTACATGCAACTTTGCCAGTATTCGGATGATCAATCCGAAGACTGTTTATGTTTACTTTGAGTCCGAATGAATTTGAGTTCTAGAGAAACGACAATATCTTCTCAATGGAATGTGGGATTTTAGTTCTTGATTCTAATTACAGACAAATCAATTAAAATTCCATGTGGCGTGCTTTCAACGAGAGCATGTACACAAGGATGAATAATAGAATGAGGTTTTGTTTTTCACCTGAAGAGCATAATAAAAGCGATTGCATGGTGGACGTTTAGTAGGAGGCAACAAATAGATGATTCACACACACGAAAGCAGTAAAAATCAGGTAGAATTTTATAATTAATTTGAATCACTAACATTCATAATTTTGTATCGATTGTAGCAGTTCGGTTGGGTACCACTGAATTATGTGCTTGTCTGTAAGGAAATAATCGTCTCACCCACTTGTTTAGTTCAGGAAGCAAGCCTATGCATACCCATGGAAGAAACAGACATACAACATAGATGAGATCAAGAAAGAAATCGATTTGAATTTGAGAAAGGAATGTCGGATAGCCAAGTACTTGTACAACTTCTACAGATAGACATGGTGCCCAAGCGCTGATGTAAAGGTTCGAAATTGCGAACAATTGCACTGGTGTAGACGACGCTTGTGTCGAACTACTCGCACAATTAATGCTATATTTGCCAATGCATTTATAACCATAGGTAATCCATTGTTGAATGCCCAATCGAATGTACCAAGTACTTTGCCATAAGCAAGATAACAAGCAACAAAGCCACACACACATTATTACTGTAATCCCACTGTGTACCGCACATGGATAAATTAAAATGGCAAAAATATAAAACATCACAGGATATATAAGACAAAGACAAAGCGGTATATGATGAAAATCAATACGCACCCAACGAACTCTTAGAATGTGTGCGTGAAAAATAAAAAGAGATAGTGCAATGACTGGAATTTGTAGTAAGATTAATATTGAAAATTTCACACGATATAGTAAAAACTTCTTGTTTTCAAAGACTTCAATGCCAGTATTATTCATTCTTGTGACTTTTTACAGTGTGCAAGATCTAGTCTGTACTCGACGTAGAAAATCACAAAATGAACATAATGATAATAATTTTGTTCTTTTTCTTCTCTCTTTAAAATATATTGCAGCCACGTAGTTTTGGCTGGATTGCCACTAAGAATTTCCACATGTCAATAATTTCCTTTCATCATCATCCATCTATTCAATTCGTCCCACTGAAAATGAACAAGGAAAGCGTGGCAAGAGTATCATATCTAATTAATGCGATAAAGAGAATATTCAAAAATATTCTATCCACTGTTTGTAGTACTAATATCTACTATTGTTCATTACCGGTCGAATTACAATCAAGTCAAACATAATAATCGTGTAAGCATGATAAAAATTCAAATATTCAATGAAATTGAAGACACTGCGACCTATTTTTTAATTTAATCTTTGATTTCATAAGAAATAAAACTTATATTTAGTAGAAAAGTCAAAATATATGGTTTCCGGTGTGAAAAAGCGTTGACGTTGCTTGCAGTTGAGTGCAATAAAAATATCAAACCTTATTAACCTATCTAGACCAGCAAAGAGACAGAAGCGCAATTTTCTCGTTACCCAACCCGAAGCACGTGAAAAACTTAAGTAACGTTGGAAAAATGCGTTCGCCATGTATTCGAAACAGAGACGTGCACAGGGCAGGGCGGTCCTGTTGCCCTGTTCTGCCGCCCGCCAGAGCCAAGGTAGCCAACAGGACAGACAAGGACAGGAGAAAAAAATTATGTCCTGTGCACGTCTCTGGTCCGAAATTTGTTTGATAACGTGCATATATTTTGCTCATTGTAGAGGCTGTGTGTCGACAAAATCATATAAATGGTCGTTAATGTAGTGAAACATTTTGTTTTCATTCATAAAGTATTTCATGATGCAAAGTACAATATAAAAACAATTTTCTTTTGGGGAAATTCAGGGAGTAATTATTTTACTCATTCTATTATATTCATATTCGTGGAATTTTTATTTTATTTCATTAAGTGAGAAATAATAAAAATACTTTCTTTTGTTTGCTTCTTCACGCATAAAAAATGAGGCAAGATTTTTCTTACGATAAGAAAAACAATATTTTATAGCAAAAAAAATATAGAATATCCCTTTCAAGAAACATTCGACTTTTAAGAGTTAACGATGAAATTTATTTTTGTCGAAACTTGATTTCATCATGAATAGATAGATGTACACTTCAGTTTTATCGTGCTACTAGGTATTTTTAGAGGCTCTCAACGTGAAAACCATCATGCATCTTGTTGGCATAGCTTTATTTTGGCTGATAACATGCATCACTCATTCGTTCGGCTTCAATGCACTGATGATCAGTATCGGCGCTGCTGGTCATGTCACGCCCATGTTTGAATTGGCCAAAGCAATGAAAAATCATAATGTAACATTTATTACTGAGCCACATGCGCGGTCGTATCTCAAATTGAAAACAATTTCGAATAAATCTTCACTGAATTTAATCTATGTTAATGATTCGACGGAAGCATTTATTGAGCAGAAGAAGGCAGAACAAGAAGCCATGGAATATTTTTTAGATCATTCGTTAGTCGATAATCTATTTTATTTAGTAGAAAGCATGCCACCCGATGTTAATGCGTTAATGAACACTACAGTAAATTTGCTGTTGACACAACAATACGATGTTACCATCGCGAATTCATTAGTTCTAGACATCAATAGTTTGTGTTTCGATACCAATATACCATGTGTAATACATATGGCAAATTCCATGGCGAATATTTTCGATACAAATATACCAATTGGTTATTCATTGCTCACACCGAAACAAATTAGAAATTTTGGCTATCGTATCTATAGCACTGCTTTCACAATACGTTTACTAGCATCGATAGCTAGAGGACTGATAAAATCCATTAATACGATATCACGAGCCTTACCGCGGATATCAGGACCATACTATGAAAGTTTCGCAGTCAAAAATATTTTGCGTGAAAAACATAACCTATTGAAATTATATAGTGTTCCACCGACACTCTTCCCACTCTCATATCCAGACTCGTATAGTAAATATATAGGTGGATTCATCAACGATTTATCCATGGATATGATCGAAGATGATCTTACTAGATGGATCAAATCAAAGCGTGATAGTTCTATTCTGTATGCTGCTTTTGGCAGTATCGGCATCATACGACCGAATCGAATGAAAAGCTTGCTCGAAGGACTTGCTATATTTCTCTTGCAAACATCTGATGCTTCAATTCTATTAGCTTTTCTTAATGCTAACCATGATACATACGTAAGAGTATTAAACGAAATTAGCAACAATGATCATCGACGAATATTGTCGAATACTGATCGTGTACGAGTCGAAAATGGTTTTATTCCGCAAAAATGGATATTAGAACAGAGTGCTGTTGGATTATTTATTAGTCATTGTGGAATGGGATCCCTTGTGGAAGGATTATATTTTGAGAAACCAATACTATGTTTGCCATTGCATACCGATCAATTTGTTAATGCGATCGCAGTCGACCAGTCGAAGATTGGAAAATCATTATTTGTACCACCATCTCCATTTGAATCATTTTTAAATCCACACGATTTTCATGATTATAAATTTTCGACAGACAGTGTCATCATGGCTGTTTCGTCTATGTGGATGAACTCAACGTACAAGCAAGCAGCTCGAATAATGTCGCTTGAAATGAGACATGCTGGTGGTCTCAAACGAGCTGCCGAAGAGATAGAACTATTCGTGAATTTAAAAGGTGATCGTGATCGATATCAACGGGGAAACGGCAGACTTGAAGTAGAAAAGTACATCAAAGTACTTTACTTGAAGTAAGCTTAAAGTAGCTTAAAGTAACTCAAAGTAGCTCAAAGTAGTCCAAAGTAGCTTGAAGTAATTGCAAGTAACTTCAAGTGAATTTGAAGTTGAAAAGTACTTCAAAGTACTCTACTTGAAGTAAGCGCAAAGTAGCGCAAAGTAGCCTAAAGTAGCACAAAGTAGCACAAAGTAGCGCAGAGTACTTGAAGTACAAAAGTCTGCCGTTTCCCCCTTGATCGATATACACCTTTCCATAGCAAACTACCTTTCTATCAACGCTATATGCTTGATGTAGGCATTGTTTATTTTGTTCTTCCCATAATTTCCCTCTTTTATATATTACGTCAATGTTGCCATCGAAGTCGAGAGCAAAAGGTTGACTGATCAATAACAATATTTTGAAGTTAAAACAGGCAAGGGTGTGGTTGAAAACGAAGACAAACCTCTATCCTATACACTTCGACACTGTTTGCAGAGCGTATTTCATAAAATAATTTTCTTACAAGTATCTTCGCATGTAAATTGAATACACCGAAATTCGATTCTCAATTTGAGTTCATAGAAATCAAAATGCTTTACCGTGGGTACAGCTCAAACGATAAATTATATCAGCGTTGAATTTTATACCTAATGAAAGTTTGTTGAAAATGAGATTACTTGGCGTTAATCGTAACCCGGTAGGTGATTGTTAACTGTATTGAAAAAAATGAATTTCAAAAAATTTTCGGAAGGTAATTACTCCAACAGCTACGATCTGCACTCTTGTTCAGCTCATTGAAATGCTTTATCTCTCGTGAATGTTTTTGTCATTGCAGGGCCATCATGAGCATGACCACACGCGTATGTATGTTTCGTCTCTTTCATCTGCTAACATGTTGCATCGTTTAACTCTATTTTTTCTTTTACGCTCCTTATGCGAGAATAAGAGATCATGGGGTATCGGAATTGATAGGGCTAACATAATCTCTTCAATAATACCCATCCATACCCTCATTTAAGTGAACATTCAGTAGTACTTAGTACCCAGTCGAACCGGAGCCCCGTCTGACCTTACTGATGTGCCCCTAGTTGGTGCACGTACTAGTTAGCTCTTTCATAAGTATCCCCCAACTAGATGAACTGATGTATTTAGATAAAATATAGGAACTTAGGGAGGCTAAAAATATAAAACCAAATAGGGAATAACATTTAGCGAGAGGTTTCATAGTCTGTGTTGTCGCCAGCAAAGAAAATTATTTGTAAAACCATCCAATGGTACTTGAATGCAAGACCAACCTTCACCTTGTGACGAACCACAAAATGACCAAATCATTTCTATTTTTGAGGATTTTGGTAAGCAGAAAGCATTATCATTCCACCAGCGTACTTGTCCATAAATAGGCTCACTAATGCTAGCGCATTTCATATCGGCTCGACATGATTGGAAATTCCAGCGCCAGATCAACCCAATATCTTTATTCGTACAAATATGTTGCATATTTGATGGAACACCGCTGCCATACAGCCACACGCACCACCAACCGTTGATGTGAGTTTCACCGTTATAGGCAAATTTAATATCATCAGCATTATCGTAGCGTGACATAAACGAACTGATTTGAGTATTCAACGTATCATTTATACCCATCCGCTTGGCTACTTGATAACCGAAGTGACATTTTGATGGTCGACAAAGAGTCAGAAAAACAGCTGCGATACAAAAGCATATATAGCCATAAAGTGAATGCACCTCAGTCGAAAAAATCGAAGTATCTGAAAATAAATAACTGTTTCAGCATTTGATATTATGCACTGTACAGTATTTGTCCGTAATAGCAACACAAAAAATAGCGCGTCCTGATTGACTCGGTTCACAACTATTTTACATTAGATGATAAGTATTCTGACATTTTCATAATCCTTGGTGTGAGCTCTTTCAAGTAGTATAGCAACTATTTTTCGCTGAAATGCAGTCGTGTAAAAAGTAATGGTCTACGATAGTCACTCGCATCTATTGTTGTTAAGGCCACTTTTGTTTTATCAATGCTGAACGTTTTGTCTTCAAGTTTTATATCTTATTAAAGTAAAACTTGTTTCTCCTGAACTATTGAATTTAGATAGAGCTCATCGTTAAAAAAAGGCTCGCAAGATCTTTGCTTGTTCTGTGAATAAAAAGCGTTCTTTTAAACAGTATCTTTTTGTGTGTGAGGGTGAAGATATATGTCTGTACTTGAGTGTGGGCATTGGGTATTCTTGTTTGGTGGATGCCGTTATTCTCCTAATCCCAATGGCAAAATGGATAAGTATATTTACTCATCCACACCTACATTCACAAACTAACATCAAGATTGAACAATAAGCTCGATGCAGATAAAACTCAAGGATGTGACTAAATCAAACAAGCAACAGTTTAATAGAGATAAAAATGATTAGATTTTTCGGAAATATATTAAAGCTTATCTGAATCTATATCACCGACCTCAATCAAGATTTTGAAAAACGAAATATGTATCCCTAGACATTTTAGCACGGGTGACGAGAATCCTTGCCACAAGATTTCGAATTCTGAAGTTATCAACTGATTGGTTATCATGCTAAGAGAAAATCAATAATCATCAATAACTATAGCTAATCTTACCTGCACGAATATTCATGCATTCACATAATTGAATAATGAACAGACCATATTTTTAAAGGCAATTCAAAATATAAAATCTCAAAAGGAGCAGTTCCATTGTTGATTCTACAAGAGTTCAATTATAAACAATTTAAAAAACTAAAGATAAATTTACATAAGTTCAGAAACTACGAAAAGAAACAGACAGTTTGCTACTAAAAAGTTTGATAATTGCTAACTAAGAGGTTGTCAGTTTGATCTTCATACTGAATAGATAACTGTAAATTTTTCGTAAGAATAATCAAACTTACTTGAGCATATAGCTACTAAGTAGTGTGAAACTTATCGGATGATTCCCTTGAGAAAGGGTGATATCCAGATTACAGTGGATCTCTATATTGCACACAGTCATCACTCAAGATTTATAATTCGGTGCACTTTACTCAGAAAGAAATATTGTCAACATTATAGCATTCATACGTTTAAATACGAAGAAGAACATTATTATGTTAGATCAAAAACCCGGAACTTTTTACTTCCCATTTTGAGAATATTTATGCCATTTTAGATTTATTCCCTTAAAAAGAGTTTAATAAAACTATTCGCTCCGTATATTTTTTTCTCATTTGCATAAACCGGCGTGCTCTTCAGTTAAAAATTTTCTGTGAGTGCATAGCGAAAAAATCTTTAATTTGAGAAAGGGAAATAGAATTAATTTCTTGGTGTATAATTTATTTCTAACCGATAGATTTAACGCTTAAGTATGCGAACAATTGCTTCTATTTGATAATTTCAACATATTTATACGTCGCAATGGTCTTTAGTGTGTGCGTGTGTGTGAATTTAAACGTTGGGATGGATGTAGGTCTCGTAAGTGTAGTCTTCCAGACACTCCCCTCCCCACACACACACCATCGCGTTTCGCTAAACAATATTAGATACAATATTTATTCAAGTTTATTTAGAAACTTTCTGAAACCGTTGAGATGAATAAAAGAATATTAGCACTACCAAGTTGTATATAATAGCTCAACTAATTGAGCTCTTAATTCTTTTTAATTAAAAAAATATTGTTCTCGTTAGCATTTAAATAACATAGAAATATGTAAAATCATATATATTGAAAATAAAATTGTTATATTTATAAATTAAAATTAAGCTTTTTCACAGCGATAACGAAAATGTAACTTTTTAAAGCTTTCAGATAGATACAAATAGTTGTATTTTTAGACAAATAATTATTTAAATTTGAAATAGACTTTTCGATTTTATAAATTAAAACAAGTATTAGTCTCTTTGTGTTGTAGAGAAAATTAATGAATGCAAAAAATATAGAGAAAAAAGACAATGTATACTTTTTCAAATTTAAGCGAAAAGAAGTTCCATAGGAACTAAGTTTTTATATTAAATAAATTCAATGGCAAGTTATAACTAAAATGAATGGCTCTAACCTAGTTAAACTTTTAAATCAGAGTAATCAAAATGCATATTAGTATTGAATAAAATTATGATGAAAAATATTCTTCAAAGTTCGGTGTGGGTGAAAGAGAAGGGCATTTGAATTACGAAAACACCAAAAACCACATCTAATAGATAACTATTGCCCATGTACAACATGTTTTTAATTGTTAAAATAATAAAAATTTTAAAATATCGAAAAACTTATGACAGATTTGAATTTTTCGCCCTCAAAAATCTCTGCATAAGCTTTATAACATTGATCTTGCAATTGTATTATATCGATGTCTACACGTCACTTGATATGTGCTTACAAATCCGCAAGTAGGCAAGCATAGAAAGTGATTTTATTTCTTGTGATTCTTTCTTCCGTTGAGGTGAAAAGAAAGAAGGTCGCAACAGAAAAAGAATATGATTTTCAAAATCAGGTTTCGGAAAACCTTTTCATCATTTTGTCAATAGAAGTATGAGTCACATAGTTTTATTTCTTTTTATTTTCAATTTTTTTAGAATTTCATAACACATAAATTCTCAAATCCATAAAAAAATGTATTTAAAGTAAAGAGGTACCATGCCTTGAAGTTATTGGATTACTCGATTTAGAGATTAATTTCGTCTAAGATAGTTTTCACAAAAAAATGAATAAATTAGAATTGAAACAAATCCGGAAAACAACGGAATTACCTCGATGGATATAATAAACCCTGAGAAACAGCAAAATCCACTTCGCACCTATGCACTACCATCTGAATTTATAAATAAGAATCACAATACATGACGAACATTAGCGATATTATCAGTGAGATTTAGTTCTCATTTGTACTTTCAGACCGAACGCAAAGGGGAGAACAAATTTTTTTTTATATAGAAAATATTCTTCTTCTTTTTGTATTTATTGACTTATAAATACTAGTACAATTGCATCGAATACGATAGTTGATGAGTAAAATAGATCACAGTAAGAAAAATTGTTTTATCACGTTTTTATATTTTCATTAATGTTTTTATAATTCGTCAGAACTCAGAAAAGTGTTCCGTTCGAATTTTTGAACATACAAAACAACTACTCCTGCTTCTTTCATTGAATTATCATTTGATAAACCTATATAAATTTAGTTTAAATTTAACATTTCTATTTCATATTAAGCTAATTTTTTTATGACCAATCCACTCAAGAGACAAGATTCATTTGTCCAGTATAAATATTTTTTTAAATGCAAATATAAATTCTAAATATTCTTACTTATATTTATTCGTAGTTTAGTAAATAAAATTGTAATGTTAACATTTAGTCTAGTATTTAAATAATTTAGAAAGTGATGAAAGATAGAGTTCATTTTACTGGCAAATCTCAGTGTTAATATCACTGGAATTTCACCAGTAAAAAGATACTTCTATAGATAAGATAGTTCGATAAATAAATAGACGCAGAGTCACATCGGGTTTCACATTTTTAATCCCGCAAAAATTACAATGAAAGTTTTCTATTTATTTATTTAGATATTGACCTACCTGTTTATCTATCTAGAAATGCACCAATTGGCTAGTTGGCAATTTAACTATGATCTATTCACCTGCGTATCTAACTAATTAACTATTGATGTATGTATTTATTTACACACGTGAATAACTATTTATGTCTACCGCTTTGTTGATGAAATTACCGTGATATTATCACTGAAAATGACCATATAATCATTACTGCTTAATTATTGCATACATCAATACTGATGAATACTATAAATGCTTTTATTTTTCAATTTGTTCAAATAAAACTACTATTGAATATGCTATTAGATATGTATAATGATAGATATTGAAGGGCGAGGGTGTGCATGGAACTTTGGTTCATCATAGCACGTACACCCACATTCAAGCCTAACATAAATCTATGTCTCTATAAATAATAAGTTTTTTTGAGCAACTGAAGAATGTATCAATGTGTAATAATTTTGAATAATTGCATTTCGAAATAATCTAATTTTAGTATTCCAAAACTTGAAAATTCAATCGAATGCTCTCGAGAAGAAATCTTAGATCGATCGAGTATTACAGGCTTTTCCTCAACGGAGTCAAAGCATGTCGTCGTTGTAGCCATCATTTTCAATAATAATACTTTACGAGATCATTAAATAGTGAGAGCTTTGTATATCGTTAGAGACTGAATCATGACCGAAACTTTGTCTACATATATCGGAGTACTGGATAAAACTGTCGATATCTATTCGAATCTAATTTATTTCTTCTAGACACAGTAACAATATTAGATGTAAGTGTGATGCACTTGCTGTTATTCTGTTGTCTAATAAACAAATTCACATCTTCATCGTTGACTGTTATTAATCAATTACTTTTTGTTCTACGTTAATTTCATTCAATGTTTTCTAGTAAGAGTACCGAAGAGAAATGTTTTTTTTTAAGTTAGTTTGTAATGAATATGACAAATATTCATTTGTGAAAGTTGTTGGGTGGTAAGGAACGAATGCCTTGATTGTCAATAACAAAAAGCCAATCTGACTCAATGACATGTGCACCATCAAATGGTTCATTTAGTTCCATTTTTCGACCATCACCCAGAGTGGCTTCAATGCTAACAATTTTTGAGTTAAATTCACATCCGCCCGATGTGTTTGATCTGTAGATACGTTTACATTGTGTTGATGTGGACTGCTATTTTCTTCTTCGCCTGGATGCTGAAAGTATGTTACATGAATTTTAACATCGCCATCAGAATCATTTCGAATCGAACAACTTTTAACAAATTTTGGAGTCGGAACACAGACTCTGCAACACATCGTTAGCTACTATTCGTGTTGTTTATTGAAGTATGCATTACTATCGAACCATACGATTTTATGAAAAATACTTGAACTGTGCCTGTATGTGAGAGCAGCACACTAAAAGAAAAAGTAGAGATCTAATTAAGTATACCATCGAAAAGAAAAACTGCTGAGAAAACAAAGAATGTAAAAAAAGATACATTATGACTCATACGAGTATAACGTGAGAAATTATTAAAGGTGGCTTGTGAGCAAAGGAGCATGGCCGATTGACAATGGAGTTCGTTCCTTCAAAGAGTTGGGAAGGATCTCTGATTTTCTCTGTCATGAATCCTTATAATTTATGCTTGCAGAATTTCTTATCGTTGCACAATAGTATTTTTTTAATATTTGCTCAAACTCTGGTCTGGATATTTTTCAGGATCTAACCTTTTGAATTCTCACAGGAAGACGTTGTCCTGAAGAGTATTTTACTATTCACAATATTAATACTTTCAGTATCATGATGTGCTTTATGAAAAATAACATAACAACTTGAATAATGCTGATATTTCTTCTTCTTTAAGAGCACCAAGTTCTGCATTACCTGAAATCATATTTTTTATTGCTTAATTATTAGTCCGTTCTTTATAACGAAAATCAGCGTATTCCTGCAAAGAAACTTGGGACACACAAGCAAAGATGTGGATGCGGTATTTCCAATTAAGGGTGATGCTAAATATTATGAGTGTAAATGTTTACTTTAACTATCTATCTACATTGTCACAGTGACGGCCATGCAAACTCAGATCGTTACTCTTTTATCTTCAATGCTTCATTGTTATTTCCTGTCTTATAAAATATGTCTTTTTCAGCTACATCAATACAACTTGGCATGAATATCAATATCCTATAGCACATGCTAAAACCACACCCATACACCAATACCAGCTTCTGAGTAGGTGTGTATTGAGTAGAGTTCGAATATGGACGTTTATCGCACACATCAGCGACATTTGCGTATTTTTGAACTCGTACTCATGACTTCAAATTCAACACGGACGGATGTGGGTATGTGTCTGAATGTTTGGCATTCCCATACTCACACCTGCACCCACGCCCTCATTCCTCCATATAACTAAACTCCATATAAACCTATGCTACATAAAATACGCTTGGATTAGCTTAACAGAGTAATATGATCTTGAACACACTCCACACCCTCAAGATATCAGCGTTAGCTTGAGATGGAAATTTTTGAAATGTATCTTCTTTCAAAGAAAAGAAATCAGCTTTTAATCGCTTTCTGCTGCGACCAATGCTCTTTCCATTGTATCAATGCTTCGACGCAAATTAGCCCTTCTCTGCTCTAGCAATGGCGGTTCCTTCATCCACTTCAAGAGTTCTGCTGGGGTAAACTCTGTATTTAACTTCCCATCGAGGAGCAATACACCGTTACGAATGAACCAATACTCGCAAAGTTGAGAGAGATGATCGACAATACGAGCTTGAACAATCGAACAATAGGCTTGCAGGCCAATCAAAACATCATGAGGTGTCCTGTTATCACTCTGTGTTTCTGCAACAACAAAAAAACAGTAAGGACAAATTTTCATTCATACATTAATAAAGGTTTGACTTACTGTCGCTGGCTTGCAGCTTCTTAAAGATATCCATGTAGTTCGAATTGACGGTGAAGACTTTCTCTTCCATTTTTAACATCTGCTCGACGTTTTCCATGCATTTTACTCTACTGTTTTCTATTACACCTTTGATTACTTTATTCAGCTCACGGGACAGAGGCAATTTATAACTCGCCTCTGCAGGTATAACTTTCTCCAAAATATAAGCAAGACAACTGGTCATATATTGTTCGACCCAAACAACCAGAGATTTGCAGGGTGTCTCAAGTTGTTTATGGTACGGCTGATATAACTGTTGAATAATATTGGATGATGGAAAATTAGGCAACCCACCACCATAATTTTCCTCGATTGACTGCAACATTTGAGTACCTTGATTAGGTGAAGAAAAGGTCGATAAAATCCTTTTAATTTCTGCTGAAGTACATTTTCCTATCATCTTGAGATGATACGCGATTCGGTCATCCCATTGATCACGTGCCGTAGGATCGAATGTTTTTGCCACTTGCCCATATTGGATTTCGTAGTCACCTTTTACACGGTTTTCAACAGCTGTGCGATAATTTCTGAGAATTTCATTGAAAGCAAATCTCGTGTCCGTTTCCGTTAATACCGCTATTGGAATGTGTTTCAGTTCTTCTCGTTTCATTTGAATTTTTTCTTTGACTCCTTCAATCACTGATGGCAACGTTAATCGAATTCTACTCTGTTGAATTGAAACTAATTTTTTGATTAATTCTCGGCTACCTAAGTGTTCCTTAGGTACGTCAGCGAAGGCTGGATTGGTTTGAAAGAATTTTTCTTCGCGTCGTCTCATTTCTTCAAACGAAACTTTTGCATCGATTTCCTCCTGCTTACGGTTGAGAACAGCAACAGAACCCAACAAAAGAGCCAGAGATCCAGGTCCTATTCCTTGTAGTTTTTCTGCGATACCTTTGTCATGTTTGTCGATTTTTGATACGGCGATGATTTGACGTTCATCTAGAAAAATTAATCAGTAAAGGTACAAATTAATCGAAAATGATTTTCATACATTGTGGATCGTATCGTTGACAAATTTGAATTGATTCTGATGTTGTAAAATCTACTGATGATGGAATGACGTGCAAAACAATCGATGATTCAGACTGAACACACGTTTCGATCAATGAAACAATATCACGATAAATCGTTGGCGACTGACCGTCTACTTGAGTGCGAGTAATTCCTAGAACAAATCAACGAAATTCGAAATCTTTTCCTTTCAATCAACAAAACTCTGACCTGGCAAATCAATCAATGTTAGATCGTCTTCAATCTCTCGTTTATAAACAGTGAGGAAAATGGGCGATGGTGATATATTGACCAAGTTACCAGTCAAGAAGTTCGTGCATTCGACCACTCTAGCAGAAATCTCTGATAAATCATTGATGATCAATTCATCCACTCCAGCGCATCTAATCGTCGCGTAATCCTGCGAATCGGGTGGAGCACTTTTCATACGTAGTTCCAGTGGGCAGCGTGTACAAATATTCTGTGCTCGTGGTAGTTCAATACCACTGATAGCCTCGAGTATCGATGACTTTCCTACCTAAAAGAAAGACTTCCGTGTTGATCTCAAACAAAAATTAATCTAGTCTACCGATTGATCGCCAACAACAACGATTTGTGGAAGTGAAACTTTTTCCATTTGCAAGATCTCGCGCATTTTGTCAACTTTCTTTAGCAGTTGGCGACACTCTTCCGTGTTAATTTCTTTGTTGATCATGGCAATGGGATTGTAATTATTGACCGATGGTGATGCACCCAATGTAGAACTAGCTTCAACATTTTCTAATCTGGCATTCCGCAATCTACGCAGTTGATTATTCATCCTTCTCCAAATCGTCGTTCCCACACTTGAATCACTAAACTAATCAAATAGTTAGACGTGATGATGACTTCAACAGGCTGGTTCATTTATAAAAATCAGTTCTCCTCTTTCTAGAGACGTGAACTCACAGCCTCGTCTTACGTAGGTGACTAAAATGTTGTCAATTATCCGTAACGCGTTATATAAAATCAAGAAGTGTATCATTCCTTTTCGCAATCTATTTTACTAGTAGCACTCAGTCGCTCGTAACTTTGATTCATCTAGATATAAGACTAGCGTCAATTTTTTCAAAGAACTCACAGGACAAACTGTTTCTATTTGAGAAGCAGAAAAACTAAGAGAACAAAAGAAAAAGGTACTCAAGCCATCTTATTTTTCTTCCAATTAGAAGAAAAACAAATGGTACATTGATGTGGTCGGGGCAAGAACGTCTCTCGATAGCCAAATTCGAATGGTTGCGTAAAGTTTTCTTCTGCTCGGGAGAAAAAAGATGGCGTGGTTTCGTTTCTTTTTCGTTCTCTTAGTTTTTCTGCTTCTCAAGGTGAGCCACAGTAATGAGCGAGGTAACACTGCTGGCAAAACAGATTGTGAAAAACAAGATTAGCCTCGTGCTCTTCTATACCTTGTTTCACCAAATTTTCAACGCTTTAGTCACGTACACAAAACAAGATGACACTCTAAAGTAAAGTCTCTCTCGAAAAAAAAGAACTGCTTTTCAGACATCAACTAAACCCCCCCCTATAATAGAAGCCCACCCCATATTAGAAGCCCCCCCGTATTAGAAGCCCCCTTTGGAAGGAGCAATATGAAAGATGTATTAGAAGCCCATGGGCTTGTATTAAGTCCGAGATTTAGAATTTTTTTTCAAAATTTATCAATTTTCTTCTGAACATTCATACATTCGAACTTCGAATGTATGAATGTAAAGTAAAGTCAAAGCAATTCAATGTTGAAATTAGATATCAAACAAGCATTGATGTACATGACAGAACAATTCTTTGATCTTATTTAACAACGACAAAATTAATACATAACAATCAATCGGACACATCTTCAGATGTTTCATAATCTAATCTTTTGAAAGAGAGAAATGCACAGAATGAATAGGCTGAATAGACATATTCATACAAAGTATATTCCGACGGCATTGTTCACATGTCATTCAATTAAAATATTTTTTCTTGAATTGTATATCCATTAACTATGTATCAAATCGAAGAGCATCTAGCGCCGTTACCAGGCGTTATTACAAACTCACTATTAGACGAATCCAGTTCCGATAATGATTCCAGCGTTGAAGTTATGTCTATTGTCGATGAAAATGAATATGAATTAATCAAATGGACTAATTATTTACAACTTAATTCGGACAGTGACGATGATAGCGATGATAATTATTCTTCGACTCAACCTGCATTACTCGTTAATTATTCGTCGTCAGAGTCATCCAGTGATGAAGAAGAATTATTACAATCATCTCATCAAGCTGCATCTTCTAATAACAACAGCATTGTCGATACTACGTCTTCGTCAACATCAACCACCATTAATAAACGTAAGCGACGTCAATGGACCGTAAATGAAAAATTAAATGCGATCATCTACTTCGAAAAAAACAACAACAAATCTAAAACAGCCAACGATATCGGATGTGCTACAAAACAACTTCGTATGTGGATCAAGAACAAAGATGAATTAATAAAATTGTCATCTCAAAAGAAAGGTGAGGAGTCCATTTTTATTACATTTAAAAAGTAAAACAATCTCTATTTTTTTTTCTTCAGGTAAAAAACGCATGCGTCGTAATGGAGCTGGTAAAAAATTAATTTATGTGGACCTTGATTCTCGTTTACTTACCTGGTATCGTCAAAAACGTACTGCTCCTGGATCAACAACAACACCTATTACTGATATTCGTAAAGAAAAAGTGACATTTCGTTATCTTCAACGTCGTGGACGACAAATAAGCCAAGAATTAAATCACCCATGTCCATCATCAAAATGGTTTGGTCGTTTTCTCGTTCGCCATCGACTTTCTCTTCAACGTCCAAAACGACAACAAAAAATTCCACTCGACGAAGTTCATCAAAAAGCTACTTCATTCTATAATTATCTACGACGAGCTAGTCGATGGGCTCCAAAACGTGGCCCAATGGGGGCCTTTACTCCACGTGACGTTTTTAACATGGATGAATCTCCACTGGCATTATTCGGCGATCAAGCAAAACGCTCAATTAATGATATCAACACTTGTAATGAAGTAGAAGGATGTTTAAGTAATAAAGTGAGTACTTTTCTTTTTTTACAATACACAACAAATTTAACTTGTTCATTCGTCGTGAGTTTTTGTATACAACTTACAGAGAAGTTTTCGTAGATCTTTACAACGCTGGCCTGACAGGCTTCAGACCTAGTTAAAGTTTGCGTTATCAGATCTACATATTCTTCTCCAAGAACAACTAAATATAATCACAAGTCTTCGTTAAGTTTCAGAAGCTAGCGGTAGACACGTCATATTTTTAGAAAAGGTATATAAAAAATTATTCTATTTGTTATTTTATTTCGTTTCTTCATTTAGAGATTTTGCACGGTTATTCTTACAGTCTCAGGCGAAGATCAACGTGTTGATCCTGTGTTGTTATTCAAAGGAAAGGGTCATATTTCGCCTAATGAACAAAAACAATATGCTAATGGTATTAAAGTGTTCTTTACTCCAGAAAGTGTTATTAACACTATAACAATGAACAAATATAATGAATGGTTTATTTCGAAAGTAAGACATTTCTAAGTTCTTTTTAATAGAACTCTTCAAAATTATACGTATGATCCATCTGTAGTTGATTGTCTATCATTAAATATTAATGAAGACGATGATGAAGAACAAATTCAAAATGCAGCTACATTAGCTGCAGAACAAGATAAAATTATATTAAATGAAAAAAATAAACAATTAAAATTAACTGACTTATGGAAAAAGTAGGTAAAGTAAACTAGTTACTTTCAAACTACTTTCTTTTTTTTTTTTGTAACTTATAATTTATAAAAGTATTTATTTGTGCTTATATTTATCTTAAGAAGATTTTGTGTAATTAATTTTGAACTTATTCTAAATAAAACTCGAGATAACTGAAACAACAATTTTCTTATGTTTTTTTAGAAAATTTAACACAAAAGTCGTATTAGAAGCCCCCCACAATAGAAGCCCACTTAGAAAATTATAAGTATTAGACAGTTTAGAAGCCCACTGGGCTTCTAATATGGGGGGGGGGTTTACTATGATTCTTGATTTGATACATTTATCAGTTTTTAGATTCATGACTTGTAAATGCTGCTACTTTAGTTAATATATATTCGTAGTTGTTGTAATATTTACAAACAAAACAATTGACCTTCAAAATTACTTGAAGCATTATTAAATTAAGTTTAATCTCTTATATCGTCTCCTTTTATGTCTTAGCAACAAATACATCGATGTATAACGTAATAGTTGGGTGGGGATGGGGGTGAGGGTGTGAATAAGTGTAGTAGGGATATAAACAACCACACCCACACACTGTTGGCTCCGGTACAAATACCGAAACGTACCATAGTATAGATTGAAAAGAAGTCATCAGTGGTCGACTTCAGCATTCAGCAGAAACACAGACAGGATAATGTTTCAATACGAATCGTGCATATTTTTAAATGGATAAAGATAGGCGTGTCTTGTATATTTACGAGTACCAACCATCTGAGTACGAGTACTTCGAGTATTTTGCCCAGCTCTGCCAAGAAGTGATTGTGGCCAGTTATTCTCACCATAGAGCGCAGATAAAGAGTAACTGGTCTTAACGAATAATAATAAACCACATTTATTCGATAAACATTTGACTGCCGATTTGCGAAAGCCGCACAAATCCAAATCGATGTGTTTATTATTTTTATTGTTGTAAATGCTTTTGCTTCGATGGTGATATTATTGCAATTTGTTCCTTTTGTTTTTTTTACGGTTGGTATGCACTGTTTTTGTAATTGGATCTTGGATAAAAGCATCTAGCTCTGAAAATTCATCTTCAGTTGTCGAATGAGGCCTGCGTAATGGTGAATTCACTGGTTTAAGATTGTTACGATGAGGACGAGGAATCGAGCGACGGTTAGACACAGGACCATTTCAAAGAGTATCATCTTGACAACGTTCGCCGTCGATTAATGCTAAATAAGCTTGATTGTATAATTCAGATGTTGTTCGAATATGTTGAGTTTTTGTTGACTTGGCCATGAATCGACGACATGAAGCGTCTTCTACTCATGATGAAAAAAGAAATTTGAACCTACACTCATCCTTTTCTTCGAAAACTTCTGTTAGTTCTACAGAAAATGTTACACAGCTCCATCATATCAGGTTATTGCGTAAGAAAATATTTTTGATCGTAGTATTAGCAAGTATAGATATCAATGGAATGTTTTACTTCAATCCGTTTGATGTTCTAAACATATAGCGTTGACAAAAACGATTCATTTGCATTCATGAAAACAATAAAAAAAAATCAGTGATTTGTAACAAACATAATTAACTAGCTGCTTGTATCACAATTGTATATTGTTTACGTGCAACGACTCACAAAAATTTCCGGGCATGACATCTATTAAATGAAATAGTATGATATATATATATATATATATTTATTTTTATGAACAAAGAGCAGACATTCAACAAACATAAGCTTGATATAGAGGTTAATTGTAATTAAGTTTATGAATAAAAGTAGATTGTCGTCAATTTATTGTTGTCTGTGATCGTGCCAACATCTTCCATATCTTTGTCGCATGAAATTCTCGTAAAAAGAATTTCGACGGTTGAACATAAAGATGAAAGCTTATGCATTGTGGTACGTAAGCAGCGAAATACGATATGATAAGCATATAACGTTGCCATTTTGTATCAAGATCGTTACAGGCCAATGAGAAAGAAATAATGAGATGAGGTAAAGCACTGATAATGTGTATCATTGACGGAATGA